TCTGCTTCATTTTGCTTTCTGAAAACAAGGTGAGTGTCTCATTCAGGGGCATGTGGTATGTGAATAAATATGCCAGTTATAAGTGCTTTAGATGAAGGGAGCATTAGATCTTATAAATAAGCTGTCAGTAAGGCAGAGTGAGGAATGGTCAAACAGTTGCATTTTCGTGGTCATCAAATAATAATCCCAAATTATCTATGTTCGGCACGGAGTACTGGAACTTTTGGAAACTGTGTGGTGTATCATTCACTGATACTGTAACTACTAAGTAAGAATGCCAGTGAAAGAGGAGTTTGTGTGTATTTGAAGACTTTATATGGCCTTCGTGAATATGTTCTGTGAGTTGTACGTATCCCATTCTAGTGCTAAAGTTTGGAATTTCTGGCATTTAGTGTACTGCACTAAATGTTTCTTCTGACAGTAAAGGGATGGACTTACATGAATATTAAAAACCATGCACACTCATGAGAAGCCTTTGGCATTTCCCATTGAATCTGATTTTTTTTTTAAGTCTTTGACATTTCCTGTTTAATGGATTTAGTATGGTGTTTGTCAGTAAAATGGTAACATCAAGCATTCCAGTCTATACAGGGCTGACATGTAATAATAACAGACAGGTGAATAATTTCAAAAGATTTCTTGGGAAATGTACCATTGTGCTGCTTGATATTCCCAGGTCTTGGAATGGGTTCCGCAGTTGCATTATATGATGCTGAAACTAAGGAAGCAAGAGGAAAATACCATGCAGAAGAAAAGTACTTTTTTATTGAAAGGGAAAATAATAAGCTATAGTTTAAATTTTTCCTTCTTAAACCACAAAGGGACACATCCTTAGTTGCTAAATATCATCATTGCTCTATTTGAAATGTGGAGCTATGTCAACATACACTAACTAAGGGTATGCCATAGTCATAGAATCATGGAAGTAGGGTCGGAAGGGACCTTGTAGATCTTCAAGTCCTACCCCCTGCCTGGGCAGGAGAAAAACTGGGCTCAAATGACTCCAGCCAGGTAGGCATCAAGCCTCTTCTTAAAGACCCCCAGGGTAGGAGCCAGCACCACTTCCCTTGGAAGTTGGTTCCAGATCCTAGCTGCCCTGACAGTGAAGTAGTTCTTACAGATGTCAAATAGTGAATTGATTACTGATGAGAAGGAAAAACAAAGACAATTCTCAGTAGCATAACTTGAGGGGGGGGCGGGGGG